GCTGGCTTTTCCCCATCCAAGCAACCATGGCCCACTGGGAAGTGGTGGAGGCCAAGTAGGGGGAAGAAATGTGGGGGGTGGGAAAGTGTATATCGCTGGTTACCAAGTGCTCTGTCTCCTGCTGGGAGCTCCTTGAAGCTGTCTTCCTGTACTCCCTGTCTGCCATTCTGCGTGGCTGACTTCAAGATGGTGAATCCGTGTCACGTTAGCTGATAGGGGACCTCCATTCTGTATCTCTCCTTGCTCTCTGTTCTCTGTCAATTTCTTATTCCGTTTGGTGCTTGGTTGAGTTCGTTGTCTCTTCATTTGACTCTTAGGGTTCCAGGATTGATGTTTGTCTCTGTTTTACTTAGTTTTTTGAGTCTTTGCTGTGGAGGGACTGTGTGGTGCTCCTGTCTATAGTGCCATGTTGACTCTGCCTCCTGAATTGTTGAAGTTCTCTATATATTTTATCAGATATGTCATTACCAAGGATTTTTTCCCAGTCTGTAGGTTCTCTTTTTACTCTCTTGGTAAAGTCTTTTCATAAGTATTTAATTTTTAGGAGGTCCTGGTTTATCTAATTTGACTTCTGTCATTCATGCATTTTAGTTTTGTTTGGTAGGCTATTTATGCTGAAAATTAGGTCCCCTAGTGTCTTAGGCTGGGTTCTCTAGAGAAGCAAAACCAGTGAAGCATATAAATATATATATGTAGAGCAGTTTATATTGAGGAAATGGCTCATGTGATTGTAGAGACTGGAACCTCTCAAGTCCATGGGTCAGGATAGAGGCTTTTGTGGATTCACGTAGCTGCAGGGGCTGGTGAACCCAAGATTGGCAGGTCAGACAGAGAGGCTCTTGCTCACAGGTTGTGAAGATCTATGAATCCCAAAATTTGTCGGCAAGAGGGCAGGTAAGCTGCTAACTCAAGTCCCAACAACCAGAGGTCTGACAAATAGGAGCCAGCTGCAGGATCCAGAGCCAGCCAAAGCCCAAGAGCCTTGCCAGAGTCCACTTATATTCAATGCAGGTCATATCCCCAAGGAAACTCCCTTTCAACTGATTGGCTACTCGTTATATCAAATCTCATCATGGAAGTGATCACATCATCATATGACTGCCAAACTACATCATAACTACCAAACCACTGAGAGTCGTGGGCCAGCCAAGTTGACACACAACCTTAATGATCACATCTAATTTTGACCCTATGTTATCTTCCAGGGACTTTATAGATTTAGCTATAACATTTAGGTTTTTGATCCATTTCAAGTTAGTTTTTGTGCATGGTGTGAGATGGATCCTGATTTAATTTTTCTGCATATGGATGTGCAGTTTACCAGCACAATTTGTTAAACAGACTGTTTCTTTCTTCCCCATTGAATGAACTTTGACCCTCTGTCAAACATCAGCTGCTTTAGCTATTTGGGGCCTCCTTCCTCTCCATATCAATTTGGAGATTAGTTTTTCCATTTAATTAAAGAATGTTGTTGGCATTTGGATCAAGAATGCATTATATCTATAGATTAATTTTGGTAGTATTGACATTTTCACAATGTTAAGTCTTACAATCCATGAATATGGACTGTTTTTCCATTTATGTAGATCTCTTTTAGTTTCTTGCAATAGTGTTTTATAGTTTTCCTTGTATAAGTTTTTTATGTTTCTGATTAAGTTTTTTCCTACGTATTTTATCCTTTTGGGGACTGTCGTAAATGGTATTGTTTTCTTGATTTCCTTTTCAGACTTCTCCTTGTTAGTGTTGTTGTTGTTCTTAGGTGACGTTGAGTCGGTTCCAAGTCACAGAGACCCCATAGGGCAGAGTAGAACTGCCCCATAGGGTTTCCAAGGAGCCGCTGGTGAGCTTGAACTGCCGACCTTTTGGTTAGCAGCTGAGCTCTTAACCACTACGTCATCAGGGCTCCTTATTAGTGTATTGTTGTTGTTGTTGAGTGCCCTTGAGTTGGTTCTGACTCAAAGCGACCCCATGCACAACAGAATGAAATACTGCCCGGTCCTGCATCATGCTCACAATCACTGTTAGGCTTGACCCCATTGTTGTAGCCATTGTGCCAATCAATCTCATTGAGGGTCTTCCTCTTTTTTGCCTATCCTGTACTTTACCAAGCAAGATGTCCTTCTCCAGGGACTGATCTCTGCTGACAACATGTCCAAAGTATGTAAGATGTGGTCCCGCCATCCTTGCTTCTAAGGAGCTCTGGTTGTACTTCTTCCAAGACAGACCTGTTCATTCTTCTGACAGTCCATGGTATATTCAATATTCTAGGCGATTGAAAACACCATGGCTTGGGTAAGGTGCACCTTAGTCCTCAGGGTGACAGCTTTGCTTTTTAACACTTTAAAGAGGTATTTTGCAGCAGATTTGCCCAATGCAATGGGTCTTTTGATTTCTTGACTGCTGCTTCCATGGGTGTTGATTGTGGATCCAAGTAAAATGAAATCCTTGACAACTTCAATCTTTTCTCCATTTATCATGATGTTGCTTATTGGTCCAGTTGTAAGGATTTTTGTTTTCTTTATGTTGAGGTGTAATCCATACTGAAGGCTGTGGTCTTTGATCTTCATCAGTAAGTGCTTCAAGTCCTCTTCACTTTTAGCAAGCAAGGTTGTGTCATCTGCATATCACAGGTTGTTAATGAGTCTTCCTCCAATCCTGATGTCCTGTTCTTTTTCACATAGTCCTGCTTCTCCGATTATTTGCTCAGCATACAGACTGAATAGCTATGGTGAAATGATGCAACCCTGATGCACACCTTTCCTGACTTTAAACCACACCGTATACCCTTGTTCTGTGTGAACGACTGCCTCTTGATCTAAGTACACGTCCTCATGAGCACAATTAAGTCTTCTGGAATTCCCGTTCTTCACAATGTTATCCACAATTTATTATGATCCACACAGTCGAATGCCTTAGCATAGTCAATAAAACACAGGTAAACATCTTTCTGGTATTTTGCTTTCAGCCAGGATCCATCAGACATCAGCAGTGATATCCCTGGTTCCACATCCTCTTCTGAATCCGGCCTGAATTTCTGGCAGTTCCCTGTTGATATACCGCTGCTGCCACTTTTGAATGATCTTCAACAAAATTTTACTTGCCTGTGATATTAATTATATTGTTCGATAATTTCCGCATTCAGTTAGATCACCTTTCTTGGGAATAGACATAAATATGGATCTCTTCCTGTCGATTGGCCAGGTAGTTATCTTCCAAATTTCTTGGCATAGATGTGTGAGCACTTCCAGCACTGCATCCAGTTGTTGAAACATCTCAACTGATATTCCGTCAATTCCTAGAGCCTTGTTTTTCGCCAATGCCTTCAGTGCAGCTTGGACTTCTTCCTTCAGTACCATCGGTTTCTGATCATATGCTACCTCTTGAAATGGTTGAACATCGACCAGTTCTTTTTGGTATAATGACTCTGTGTGTTCTTTCCATGTTCTTTTGATGCTTTCTGCGTTGTTTGATATTTTCCCCATAGAATCCTTCACTATTGCAACTTGAGGCTTGATTTTTTTCTTCAGTTCTTTCAGCTTGAGAAATGTGGAGAGTGTTCTTCACTTTTGGTTTTCTGTCTCCAGCTCTTTGCACATGTCATTATAATACTTTACTATGTCTTCTTCAGCCACCCTTTGAAATCTTCTGTTCAGTTCTTTTACTTCATCGTTTCTTCCTTTTTCTTTAGCTACTCAACTTTCAAGAGCAATTTTCGGAGTCTCTTCTGACATCCATTTAGGTCTTTTCTTTTCTTTCTTTCCTGTCTTTTTAATGATCTCTTGCTTTCTTCATGTATAATGTCCTTGATACCATCCACAACTTGTCTGGTCTTCGGTCATTAGTGTTCAACACATCAAATCTATTCTTCAGATGGTCTCTAAATCCATCTGAGATATACTCAAAGTTGTACTTTGGCTCTTGTGGACTTGTTCTAATTTACTTCAGTTTCAACTTGAACTTGCATATGAGCGATCGATGGTCTGTTTTGCAGTCGGCCCCTGGCCGTGTTCTGACTGATGATATTGAGTTTTTCCATCGTCTCTTTCCACAGATGTAGTCGATTTGATTCCTGTGTATTCCATCTGGCGAGGTCCATGTGTATAGCCACCGTTTACTTTGGTGTAAAAAGGTATTTGCAATGAAGAAGTTATTGCACAACAAACAACTCATTGCACGACAAACTGACAGACACATAGGGGCTCTTTGCAATAACATCCATTAATTTATGAAGAGTCACCTAAGTGTCTGCTTTTTATTATTAACTAATTAATAAAAGTAAGACAAAGTCTATGGTTAGCTTCCTAATTTGCATAGTGGACATATAACACAAAAATTACACATGAATTCCACTTACCCTTTTATTAATCCCAATTGTCTGCATTGTGTCCAAAAAAGTCTGGCTTACTTTGTCATGTTCCTTTGTGAGCAGTAGCGATGCACTGGCTTCTATAACTCAGATAAGTGCAATATTTTCAGAGGCAAACTTTCACAGTATCCGTGAGATGGATTCAGAATTCATGAAATGAGATGCACTTCTAAATTATATAGATAATTGCAAATGTCTCCTGGTCCCTAGCAAGTTAAACATATAAATATTGAAATAATAAAAAAACAAACCCATTGCAGTAGAGCCCATTCTGACTCATAGCTAACCTATAGGACAGAGTAGAACTGCCCTATACAGTTCCAAGCAGCAGCTTGTGCATTCGAATTGCCGACCTTTTTGTTAGCAGCCATAGCTCTTAACCACTGCGCCACCGGAGAAATAATAAGTAAGCAGAGATATGTTGCCAAGAATCCAGAATTTTTTTCCAAAGGAAGGACTTCTATGCTCCCTATATTCAGGGACTTGCACTTTGCATGTTTTACAGGTAAGCTGCTCTTTTTGCCATGTTTTATTGATTATAGTGGGCACAATCTCATTTTGGTATCTGCTATCTTCAGTCATTAAGCCAGGAAACAAACAAACAAAAGTCCTATACTGGTTCAATGATTCTTACCTGATCCAGCTGAATGCATCCCATTGGGCTTCTCAGGATATTGGGATGTTCTTCCTGATGTAGATCCGTTTGTACTGGTTGCCCATACCCAATGTAGTGTAGTGACTTGTACTGTGCAGCATTACAAGTCCTTGTCTGTGCCAGTCCGGCAGAGTCCCTGACCATCCTTACCAGGAGACCTCAGGTTTTCCTGTGATTATCTAGGTTGTGTGGCTTCTGGAATGCATTTCTTTAATTCACTTCTCCCTTTTGGAGGAGTAAAGTTTGGTCCAGGTTTAGTTATCATTCCCACTGAAGATGATGTCTCTATAGGCAGCCCCAGCATCCTAGACTATCTTTCTGAAAATAGTTCACTATACCCTGAGTCCAGAACAGCATCAACTCATTCCCTGGGACTTTTAAATATCCAGGGAAGTGGGTAAAAAAATTGGTTGCAGACCCAGTGAATACTGAAGTTAAAATTTAAAATCATCATCTGATGTGTCCTCTTAAATTCACAGGTTGTAATGATATTGATAGAGTGTCCTGCTACCCAACTTCAGGAATTATCAGATAAAATGATCAGAAACATGTCGAAGGGGAGAAAGCAAACAGAAAATAATGGATATGGACCTGCTTGGTGTTTGGGTGCTTTGTTAAATGCTGATACAGCTGATTTAGTTTACTAATCCTAAAATTCCTGTGGGATCAAGTGTTTGTTTGTCTTTTTTTAACTCTCATTTTACAAATGAGAGAGTTGAGGTCCATAGAGTTTAATTAATGAGTACGAGTTCATTGGCCCATGTGAAATAGACATAGAACTCTCGAATAAGTTTACTTTCTTTGCCTCTGTTTTACTTTCCCAGGCTCTGGTACAGTACCTCATATTCACATTGAACATGGTGAAACCAAGGGAATTAAGCTGACCTGCACATCCATAGGGTGGTACCCAGAGCCTGAGGTGCGATGGAGGGACCGGCAAGGACAGCATTTGGCACCAACCTCTGAGACAAAGATAGCAGAAGAAAACGGCCTATTTCATGTGAAAACATCTGTCACGGTGGATGAAAGTTCAAGAGGAAATGTGTCCTGTTTCATAAGGAACCCGCTCCTCAGCGTGGAGAAGGAAGCTCACATTTCTGTGTCAGGTCAGTTCCCTCCAAAGTCAACATCTTAAACTGTACCTGATACTCAAGAAGTATAACTGGCAAAGATATACAGCCCATAGACCTGGAAGTATTTTATCATTCATCCATTTGTAACTCTTAATGTGGACAGTTAGTAAAATTACATCTTTTGTCCTGTTTTGTGTTCCATGTGGCAAAGAAACGTTATTATTTCACTTGATAGAAAGGAAAGCATGGATGTTCAAAAGCATTCAAAGTGTGATGAAGTATTCTGAGGCATATGTCAAGTAGTTTCTAACCTTCCCATAATTGCACTGCCCAAGGAAAACCACTCATTATACTTTGGAATTTATTCTCCAATCTTTCAAATTGAGTTTGAATACTGGCAGTGCCACCTACCAGCTTTGTGACCTTGGGCAAGTAGTTGACCTTCCTTTTCCCAATTCCCACACATTAAATGGAGATAATAATAGGGTGTACTTCATAAGGTTGTTATGAGGATTAACTGGTATAATTCACATCACTGGCAAAGAAGAGCTATGACACCCAGTCTACTCTCTACATCTACCCAAAGAAATTGTTCAAAGAAATAAATTTTGCCTAAAATGTCCCTGAAAGTTTCCTTAATTGTTTTCAGTACCTGAGGTGAAGCATTGCAGCTGTCAACAAGGGTCTCCTCTCTTGTCCTTTGCTATCTCTCCAGCCTCATCTTCTGTCCTTTCCTTCTCCTCTGTTCCTTCCCTCCAGGCCCATACTAATCCCCCTAGAAAAACCCAACCATCTGATGTCCCATGTAGGCTGTGATTGTTATGTTCTCTCTATTTTCCTGTGACTAAAAGTTTCCCACTAGTCACCTAAGACATAACCCACATATCCCCTTTCCTAGGAAGCTACCCTCAACCTAGTCTGTGTTAAGTGCCCCTTCTTCCTACATTATTTTGATTATATGTTTTGCTATCTATTGAGGTAAAGTAAAAGTCCCCTGAGGACACTGTATCTTATTTCTTTCATATCCCCATTACTTGGCAAAATACTGAGTCCACAATATATTTCTGCACAACGGATTAATAAATGAATGTCTATTTGACTTTTTATCAGGTAAAATGTCATTTCTCATGTGCTTCAGTTTGGGAGGTCACACTTGTTTAAGATGATTCAAAAGAGAGAACTTGAAGTTGGAAATGTGAAAGAGAGAAAAGCAAATGTCAGAGAAGTAGAGATTTTTAAAAATTACAACCTTAGGAAAGAAAAGCAGAAGAGGGGAAAATAACCAAATCTCCTACATACCGCTGCAAGCTTAAGCAAGGAGTTAAGGAACATTTAAGAGGGAGTGATGAGCTGGAGCTTGGAAAGGTGAATACAATAATCCTCGAGTAATAATGATAGAAAACTCTTGAAAACCATAATCTACAAGATGAAATAGGAAAAAAAAAGATTGCTTCTTCATATTTATATAATTTGAGACAGTTAATTTACAATTAATTAACAATTACTTAATAAATTAATTTACAAGCATATTGTTGATATTTTGAAATGACGGTGTCCTTGATATTTCTTTTGAACTAACATTATAAAATAGAAAAATATTGGCACATAGCCATTATTACTTATTTAAGTTGCTGTCAGTTGGACATCACAGAAGGATACTTTCATTGACCTAGAATTCTATTTTTGGGACCTGGGCTATAAGGCCTGTTTGACTTATCATCCAAAGCCATCAGAATCCCTCATTTAATTTTAGAGGAGCTCCACATACCTCTTTCTCATCTATATATTGTCAGGCTCGCATGCCTGCATATGTAAAAAGTAGATGGGTAGAAAGCACACAGACAACTTGAAGTTAGAGGACATCTAGAGGGTAGGAGGAGAAGTGGATGGAAGGAAAACCTTTATTTCGTAGTATTTTATTTATTATAAAAGAATTATGCATTGCAAATATAACGATAAGAGAACATTTGTTAAATTTGGTTGGTGGGTTGCATTATTTTCATATTTTCAATATTTTTAAACATTTAATATTTTAAATGAGCCTCTGGGTCTCTGCTCATTGAGAAGAATCAGAGAAAGCATATCGTCTTCCGGATTCCTGGATTCCTTAGAATTGCAGGGCAGGCTGTGGGGCTTAGAATTTCTGCCTTTCCTAAAAATATCTCCTGGGAGAAAGTATCTGGGAATTTATCCCCAGTAGCCAAACCACCAGGTGTCAAGCTTAATCTCAAGTGAGTCAATCTTGTTTTTCAGATGCCTTGTTCCCTAGGCACAATCCCTGGATAGTGGTGCTGGCTGTGATCGTGCCTCTCCTTATTATTGTCATCATGGCCTTCATTGTTTTACTCGTGCGCTGTAAAAAAGCCAAAGGTTAGTGGACCAAAAAAGTGAGGGGTTGACATAATTTGTGGAGAAATCAGAGCATAATAGTTAAAAAAGAAAGTCAGCAATGGGCAATAGGGAGTCTTTAACTTTTAAAACTGAGAAGAGAAACACTTGAAGAGGAAGAAATATTCTATCTACATGAGCTTGGCTCTGCATATTTGTCAGACAATAGGGTCTGCCTGGTAAAGGCCAGCTATCTCATGAAGAAATAACACATACACTTGGTTCATTTGTATTTTGGCACTGAAATTTGTGGGTCCAGAAACTAGTACTTATTTATTTATTAGTGAACTCAGTGATAATCAAACGCTCTGTGACATTCATTGCTAACTGAAATCCTGGGGGTACAGTTAGGATACCCTTTCTGTGAAGGTGACTTCTGTCTTTGGAGTGAGGGAGGAAGGCTGGATCAGTAATCAGAACATCTCTTGATGAGCATAAGAAGATTTTGACAGATTACAGAGTTTTTACCCAGGCCATGCATAGGAAGGCCATATAGGACCTGCCTTCCACCCCACCCCACCCCAGAATACACTCATTTCTCTGCTCCCTAATTCAGTTACTTTCTTCCAAGCAGGGCTGGATAGTCACAGCCTTGGCTTTGCTGTCCCTCATGTTTCACTGAGGTCAGTGATTTCTTTGGACAAATTCTTTCTTCAGAAGTATTAATATTAGTGCTGCAGCCAGCCTTATGAAGCTTTTCTGTTCTGTTTTATTATTTATTGAATTCCCATTTCCAGTCCGTTGAGGTAGACCTCCCTGCCAACATGATTTATGTGACCTAGTTCTGAAAGAGGTAAGATCAATAATTAAAGGCTAACAAAGCTGAGCTGGGAAGAAGTGCATATAAGTGTTTTTAAGTACTGCTCTCATCACCTGCCAGTCTGTACAACACTGATATTAATTAGTAACCGGTTGCTGTGGAGTTAATTCTGACTCATGGCTGCCCTGTGTGTGGGAATAAACTGTGCTCCAGAGGGTTTTCAATGGCTGATTTTTCAGGAGTAGATCACCAGGAATTTCTTCCCAGGTGTCTATTGTATTGGTTAGCAGCAGAGTGTTTTAACTGCACCACCCAGGACTCACACACCCCTAAATTAACGTGCAATATTACCATCTCTCAAAATGGTTGATACTATGGGTTTTGTCAATTGAAGTGAAAAAAAAAAATGGCTAACAAAAAGACAAATTTTTTTATATCGAAATGTTCTTTTTCTTAAAGCAGACATATTTGGCTGTGAAGAGCAAAGGATAGTAACATATAAGGATGATACTGGGGATTGGTTGAAGAAATTGACAAAATGGGCTAATTATTTGGAAAATTTATCAAAATCGTCCAATCTGGTGCTTCTTCATTCATCCAAAATCTTCAGTTCAATCAACTATTTTTATTGTTTTCATATTATATTCTTTTTATTGACTGAGCTGACTACAGGGAAGAACTGATTAAATAATCAAAAAAGAAAAAAGAAAAACTGCACACACACAAACACACACACATTTATGACCAACTTATTAGAGATCTATAGTCAAAAGAATTGTTCCATTAACCTAGTTTTTTTCTATTACAATTGAGTACTTTGGGTCCATATATACATTTCTTGCAGCTCACACCAAATTAAGTCTACAAGTCAATACAATAGATTATAAGAGTTATTTACCAAAGAAGGACTTCTGTACTTTTAT